GCTGACGGCGACGAACTACCAAGCAGCTGGACCCGTAGTCAGGCTTACGTATCCTGCGATTGACCATTTCCTGAGGACCACTGCTTCTATCTCGACATCTTCACTGGCGAGTGTTTCGCACCGGCCGCGGACTCGCTTATCCTCGAGCCCAACGGCTCGGCGGCGCACTTCGACCTGGTCGAGGCAGCATACCTCAAGGATATCATACAGCTCGTCAAGGATACCGCGTGGAAACCGAAACCCGTGAGCAAGTGCAAAGCAGGATCCAGTTGATTGCGTCTGGGTTCGCAAGTGGAACCAGATCAAGGTTGGCAACGACATGAAGTGGATCGTCGAGAGCAGACTGTGCGCCAGAGGCTTTCTTGACGGCCAAGGCGCATTACTCTCAAAGCGAGCTACTGCGGCGACTCGGTTGTCAAGGCGGCTTTTGGTTTCGTTGGCAGCGATCTATGATTTTACCATCGGGAGCTGGGACGTCACAGGTGCATTCCTGAAGGGCCTACCTTCCAAGGACATGCACGAGGTTCTGCGCAAGCGCGGCATCAAGACTCCAGAGCGGCAGGTGCGCATCATTCCACCGCCCAACGTCTGGCGACACCTCGGGAACATCGCCCGTAAGACGTTTCACGTTCCCTCGCTGCAAGGCAGCTCGAACGCTTGGGCACTGGAGCGTCTCGCGGCGATGCCCGGGCTGAACGACGCACCTCTGGCATTTCAGGTGGCCATGCAGATCTTCGTAACAGAGACGCTTGGCGGCAGACCCTCAGTTTTTGATGATTGCTCGTACTTCTGGGTGGAATTCCCAGGAGAGCTCGAGGCAATCGCAACTTCCTATGTGAACGACAGCAACAACGCGAGTAACAACGAGTGGCTCAACGAACATGACCGCAAGATCTCAGACAGACTTGGAGGAACTACGCGGCAGCAGCCACAAATGAATCACGTGGGAGTCGGACGCGAGCAGACCGACTTCGGCATTCGAATGTCCCAGGACGGATTTTGCCAGAACCTTCAACCAGTTCCTCTCGGCAAGATTCGAGCAACTCAGGGCGACTCACCTCTTACCACTACGGAGCTCAAGGCATTCCGTGGGCTCTTGGGTGGCTCGCCGCGGCCATGTCAGACGCGACGGGATGCGATGGCAGACGCAGGTATTATCCAGCAGAACACGGCATCAACAACCATCATACATATCACGATGGCCAACGCACGACTGGCCCGCGCTAAGAAGTACGCGGCGAACGTCGGGCTCTACTGCCCAAAGATTCCGCCACCACTCGTGACTGACACGGTGGCAAACTCAAGTGGATCTACCTCGGGAAGCTCTCGCGCCCAAGAGGCGGTGCCCATCTTGTTGGGATCGGACAAGCGCGCAGGTCGTAGCGACAACGTCCATCCACGATCAGCAGGCGTACGACTAGAAGCAGCAGCTCAGCAAGTTTGTCACATCGCGACTTCGCTGTCTCACAAGGCCAAGAGAGTTTCAGGCAGCACATCACGGGCAGTGGCGGTGGCAGGCGTAGTTGGCAAGGAGCTGACTCAGATGATTGTTATGGGGCTGACGGGGTTATTCGCACCAGGCATACAACTTCCTCTACATGACGGCAGCACGATGGCGCAGTTGATACAGATGCCAATAGACCACTGGACAGGACTGCAGGGACTGCTTCGAGCTCAGCGTCGGTCTCAAGGGCGTACCCCAAGATCGGCATCAACGACTGTGCGTGCTCTCTGTTCGAGAAGATCGGCTACGCGGCTACATCGGGCGTTTTGTTTGGTGCCCGACGTCACCCATGGTGGCAGATGCGTTGGCAAAGAGCATGATACCGGAGATCCTCTACGACTCACTCGCCGACGGCTACTGGCGCGTGGGGGCCGAAGGCATTGAATGCCTGGCGGCAACTATCGACGCCCCCGCAGTAACAGTGACCGCGGGCGACCTGATCAGCATGAAACCATCATGGGCAGAATCTCCATCGGCGCGTATGGCGACAAGGCTACAGGACTTGAGCTACGACGCAGAGTACAGGAACCCCTTCGAGATTGGTGGTATATTATATCCAGATATTATCGCTGACCCACATCGTGGACATAAGGTTGGCGGGCCTTAGCATGGTTTCAGAGTTCAACGCAATCCGCGTCGTGCTAAAGTTAGACGACCCGGACAGGATATATTGCGTTGTTCATGGCTCATGACATAATGAGCAACGTTACCAGGTATGGCTTTATTTGAAGCAAGAAGCTGCCCCTCGACCACGACTTCTTCTACCCCGATATGCAGTGTTTCGTTTTCTTCACGTGCCCGTAGGGGGTAGACTGATTGTTCTACCCTCCTTCTCGGGTCCGAGGAACGGTGGCGTTGCATTTGTAATATTTACCTGCTAATTAGATGGATCCTTCTTACAAGCCAGGATGACCCGAGTCTTAATACATGTAGTGTTCAGCAGTTATGTGGCAGCAGTTAGACCAGCAAGCAAGCGTCGCAGACGTCTTGGGCCAAGCTGACCGAACATCGGACTAGGTCGAGCTGCGGGGGGGGAAAGGGGGGGGGCGGGGGGGGCAGCGGCGGAAGGGGGGCCGCCCTCCTGGATGCGCTGCTGCCTTTCGCGGGAAGCGTTAGGATTCGCCCCCTTTCTCGCGGGGCACCTGCAAAGAATGGACATGGCTGAACTGGGGGCGGGCCCCGGCACTGCGCTCGCCTCGATCAGCGATAACCGGGCAAACGCACGATTTCCACGGGGTCGAGACTGTCTGGGAGCTTTCAAACTAAGGGATCGCACCATGACACATCAAAACGCAATCGATGAGGGACGGTTCGGCGCCCCCATTGAAACACGAGAACAACCTTTGGCGCGGCAGCGAGAATGGCACCGAGCTTCCGAGACCAGCCCGGCTTACAAAACTGCTCGGGAGACGCAGCCATGTCACCAACAAATATTCAAGGAAGCTTGCAATACTCTAGGATTGTATCCATGGGCAAAGTCGTGGCAGCATGTATCTCACGACAGTTATACCGACCCCCATGGAGACGCCCAGTGGTGAGCATCTGGTTGCGGATGCAAAGAGCGCGGCTACTATCTAATTACGCCAATGCGCGCGGCTGCGGCCTGCGACGCTGCTCGATGCTGGGCAAATTCACGGCGGCATGTGGATAGGTGTCCGCTTCGGGCCTCGCCCCCGCGAGCCCGTCTTCGAGGCGTCGCTGGATCGTGCTGCCGAGAATGCGGCTTCGAGGCCACCGCCCCGCAAGTCCTTGTCGGCTGGCTCAAGGCCCTCGCGGCGGATGCGCGTCTCCTGAAGCAGGCATGCGTCGCGCAAACTACGTGGCAAACTTCCTGGCAGTTGTTTCCCGAGGTACTACTGTTTTCCGCCGATTAAAACTCTCCAGGCCGAGCGTTTGTCGGCATCAGCAATTCCGAATCGTCCGGGGCGCCATGCCCGCCGACGGGAAAGACGCAGGCGCAGTGGTCCCCGTCGCGATGGGAGGCGCTGCTGCCTTCTCCCTCGCCTGCTGGGGCATCCTCTGCTTGGCGGCCGTGTCCCTCCCTGGCTGCCTTGGCTGCCTTCTCCTGATCCGCGTGCGTCTGGGTCTCGGCAGCTGTCTGGCCCTCGGCGGCGGCGGCGGCGGCGGCCGTCTGTCCATCGCTGCGCGCCGTGGCCTCGCCCGGGGGGGGGGTCCGGCCCAGGCACCCGTGTCCTGGCGCCTCTTCTTTATCGCCTGGGTCTGACCCTGCCTCGCCGACTGCGTCGCTGTTTTCGCCTCCCCCACGTGCGAGCGCAGCTGGATGGCGAAGCCTGCGGTGCGTTCCTTGAACTCCTGCAGCATGGCGGCCCTGTTGCGCTGGAAAGCCTGTTCCCCTCGTCAACCCTCAGCGCGCCCAGGTCCGCGGGCGTGAATTTAACGCGTCAGCTTGCATAGTGAGGACGGCGTGCAACAAATTGGCTCAAGGGGTTCCCGCAAGTCTGTATTTCGGCAACGGCCTGCTCGGCTTCGATGACGGTCTGGGCCTTCGGCATTACCGAATGTTTTAGTTCCGCAAGCATGGCCTTGGTCACGTCACGCTTGGCGCAGGTGGCAGCGTACTCCTGGATGGCTGCCTCCAGCCTCGTAGCCCTGCTCTTGGGTGGCTCGGCGGAAGGACACCTCCGTCATCAGCTGGGGCAGCGTCTGGGTGACCTTGGGCCCAGCTGCATCTTGACGTGGCGGGCAGGCATGTTTTCCAAAGCCTTCGTGGAGCCTGCCGCCAGGGATGCCAGGTTCCCCGCCTTGGTCCTTGAGGCCCTTGCGCGAAAGCTGCGCGCCGCACCTGCAGCGCTAATCCAGCGCCTTTAGGTTTTTGTCCCAATCTCTGTTGCGGCATCTCTCGCACTGCCTCCACTTCTGCACGGTCTTGCCCGTCTGCGCGAAGAGGTGGTGTCCGTGGTGGTTGCGCAGCGGTTGCTGGGCCTGGCGGGCGAGAGTCGGGCCCTCGAGGGTAGCCTCCGCCGCCTGGACGACGCGCCTGGCCTGTTCCCTGTTGGCCCGCTCGCTGCGGTGTGATGCCAAAATTGGATATGATGGGTCGGTCGACCTCCGACCTAGGCAGGCTGGGGCCTTCGTGTCTGCGCAAACACGTGTTTGCCAAAATGGTGTTCGAAACTGGCACGACGCCTAACGGGAGAAGCGGGAGGACTAGGGACAGGCGGAGGAAGGTAAATGAGGGGGAGAAAGCGATGAGAAAAGACGTGGATCCAGAAAAGGCCAGCGCTGGGGCGAGAGCGCACTTCTGAACGACGGAAACACAGCGCGCCAATCAGAAATGGAGGCCCAGCAAACCATCATATACGAAACAACAATTTTTGATACCCTGTGTGCAACGGAAGAAAAAAAGAAATACGCGGATAGGACTGGCTATCTTCCATGCAGGGTCAGGGGAGAGACGAGGGTAATATTCATGGCGTGTGATTGTAAAGGGCAGACAGTGGAGAAGGCGGGGGCGAAACCCCAGGAGGCACGGCGCCTCCTCTTCTGGTAATCTTCGAGGCTTCGGCGTCACATCCTCGGGGTCCCAACCGGAGCTAGCGGGCAACGGCCGCACGCAGGGTGCCCGCTCGCGTCATCCTCCTCCTCCTCCTCCTCCTCCTCCTCCTCCTCCTCCCCTCCATCTCCTATTCATGACTCACTGAATGATTGAGCGACTGGCTGAGTGACTGGCCGGAAAACTGCCAACCGACAAGCTGACTGAACGTTTTGCTGGCTGGCTGACCGGCCGACTGACTGGTTGAATTACCGGCTGGCTGGCTAGCGGGCTGGCCGACGCGCGTGACTGCAAACAGATTGGAAGATCTGGACTGACAGGACTGAGTAAGTGAGCACCCGCCTGAACGCATACTGGCCTGTCTGCGGGAGTGACCGAACGACCGACTGGCTGGCCTTCTAGCCTGATTGATATACTTTCGAACCGATGGACTGACTCACTGACTACTGGCTACCTTGGGGGGTGCAAGCAAGAGTCGGAACGGCACTAGATACACGTAAATGGGCGAGCAGAGGCCCCGCACTACTGTCTTCGGCAGTCGGGCGTGGCCCAAAGATCTTCGGAATACGCAGTCCGAGGAGGACCTCCTCCACTGCACCGAAAGAAGCAAAAATCTCTTGTGCGTCAAGACAGGCACCACCACCAGCATCACCACCACTCGCTGACGGATTAGTGACGCGGTACCTCTCTCCGCGCGAATTACTTACGTCCGCCTTCCAATCCGTTGTGGGCGGGCGCCCCGGTAGACGCGCCATCCACAGATGGGGAGATGTCTCAACATCCTGCAGTCCGATGGCATATTAAGGACGGGTGGTAAGGACGAAAGGCCCTTGGAGGCCGAAGTTGGGATTTGTTGGGGCGCGGGCGGCAAGTGAAAACGGCAGAGGACGGGCCACAGAGGCAAGGACACAAGGGTACCCTAGATGAAGGAGCGCGTCCGTACTAGGCGCGTTGACTGTACCGAACGAGAAGTGGGAGAAAGATGGGAAAGGGGGAACGAAAGGACAGGCGAAAAGAGGACGAGGCGAGGCGGCTGTAGTGCACCGCTTATCCGACCTCCTTAATCCACCCATCCCCCGTCGCCAGGGGTGAAAGTGCGTGTGAAACTTGTGGCTTTGTCCCCACTCTCCAAGTTCCCCCTTCCTCAAGGACCGAACTCTCCTTTGAAGGAGGGGCAGTGGAGGGGGGGAGGACGAGCTCGTGAACGCACACCTTGGGCCCTAAGATGGTCAGGATGCTGTCTAAGATGGCTCAAGGGAGCTCAAGCACGCCAGGGAGGCCTCGCCTGTATCACCTCATCGCACACCAAGTGCTGCTGCGGAGCACAGTACCCAACCGCTGCCAGTGCTCAGGTCTATCCCGCTGCCTGCAGATCTGTTGGATAGATGCACCAGCATGAACATGTCAAGACGATGTCTTACCACTTTCCCGCCCTGGAAATCCATTTGAGGCTTGGCAACTTACAGCAAGGCGCCAACAAAATGGGTTGCCTCCACCGGGGGAAGATGATCATAGAATTCGGTGTTGGGGGAATCCTCGCTGGTGAAGCACACTGCTGATATTGGTGTTGGTACAAACCTCTAGGCCTACGAATTCCGTCTGTCCCTCGTTTTGCCCCAGAATCAGAGATTACTTATGGACCAATTTGCATGGACTTTCGTGCCGAGGCTCGGAGTCCCGGCGTCTCGAAGTGACCCTCCGAAGAGCAAAACATCGTGCAGCACCAACATCCGAAGGGTAGGGCACATGAACCCTAGTAAACTGATAATCCTAAACAGGACGAACGCCAAATTGCCTTGACTCTCCCAAAGCCTGAGGACCTTAAACCGCAGGGGGCGCCCCAGATTCTGCAGGCGCGAAGAAGTCGGCCACAGCATTCAAGACCACCACCATTGAGGTCACAGGTGTGCGGGGGATGACAAGATTCTTGACCTACCAGCTTGAACTCAACCTCTCGATACCCCATAGACATGCAAACCGAGGCTCCCCTATGACTCCTGAAGATCCCCTGGCAACTCCCCAAGAGCTTCGCAAAGTGTCCCCAGCGATTCCTCAGCGAACTCCCTGACGAAGGGCACACCTCTCCTCCTCCGCCGCCCCTCCTCCGCCCCACATCCCCCATTACCCATACTCCTCTTCCTCCTCCTCCTCCTCATCTTTCTTCGTCTGATCCTCATCCTGCAGATGTAACGCGCGCCTGCCAGCCGACGCCACACTTCGGCAGCCGCTCGCATCGCACCGCTTTCGCGCCCTCCCTCGGGCGGCCGCTGTCCGCGCAGATGTTGCTACCGGTGGTGGCAATCCTGCAGCCGCGGGCACGGAGGAGGGAGGCAACGAATTTAACGGCAAGGGTCATGCGGGCCTGCGCGTGGCCGAATTTCATGCAGATCGGATGATTCCCTGCTTCACACGTGGCCAGTGCTCCTGGGCGCTGCCCGTCCGACGATCCTTGCAGCTCCAGCGGGTGTGCTACATTGGCACAAAGCGTGGCACAATGTCTGCTTCTCGCACGCCATACTTCGCAAATGGGGGACAGGTCATCGGCACAAACTCTCGGGCCTGGACGGCCCGCCCGCCTCTTGGGCTCCAAAGCTTGTTGCACACCCGGACGCGGCGGCGCCTCTCCCCGATCGCGCTCGGCGATGCACTCCGCGCAAGCGGGGCGGGAAGGCCGAGCGCAAGAGACGGACGGTGCATGACGGAGGTCAGGCTTCGGTCCATGCCGGAGGAGCCTGACGGCGAGCCTGGCCATGCGCTTGGGGGCGCGAGCGTGCCCCACGAGGAACGAGGGCCTCTGCTCCAAATCGGGAAGACTGTGGGGGCATGGCGGCCGCAGTGCCGCTTGATCCGCCGCGCCATCGCCTGTCTCGCAGAATCTGCGTTCGGGTGGGGTCGACAACACTGGCGCTCACCTTGCGAAGAGCTACACAAAGTGACACCCCAAGTCTCTGTCGTGAAGCCCACATGGGGCCTATGCACGAGAGTTGCAGGGCCCAATAAAAAATAATGACTGAGGAAGGATGAAAGGACAAGCGAGGAGGAAGGCAGGAGGACAGGAGGCAAGAGAGAGAGGGGAAAAGGAAAGGAGGGAGGGAAGGAATGAAGGAAAGGAGGATAGGAGAGGGAGGAAGATTCATGGGGCATTGAAGGAAGAGGAAGAAGGAATACTCTCATGCACGTGTGTGTACGCATACCTGTCCTCATGAGAATTCGAAGAACATGTATACACACATGCGCGTGTTCGTAAAAGTGGCCGTATAGGATTACGTGCGCAAATACGTCCACGACATCACTGCCACTTCTTGTATGGTTTGATCGCAACTGGATGGGGAAGAAGAAATAGAAACGGAGACGGAAAGTGAGATATGGAGAGGGGAAGGAGAGGAGAGCAGGAAAGGACGGGTGGATGGGCTGAAAGGGGTGGAAAAGGCGAAGAGGAGAGCGAGCAGCTGGGAATGGAGGGGAGCGATTCGGACACTAACTTGCACACGACCATCCGGGCGAACTGCCACTACCCGCCCGTTCCGGGCCTCGTCATGCGGCGCCCCGCAGTGTCCGGGAGGCACACCGTCTTGCGCCCACCCATGACCTCTTACTGCGCCGAGAGGATGGGGATGAGGAGAAGCGGGAAATGCCCGAAGAGAACGACGACGGCGAGGGTGTTTCCCTAGGGGTGATACTGCGCAGAGAGGAGGATGAGGGGACAATACAAGACCTGGGCAACTGCTGTCACGGCGACTAGTGAACTTCACACATGCTGCTGGTAATTGGCTTCCTCGCGCGTCTCGTGCAAGACTGCGGGACAAATAATCAAAGAGGTGCATGTGGCCCGTGTTAGTACGAAGGCGTTGCGAGGCGTAGAGCTAAGGGGGTGGAGAACGACGACGACGACGACGACGACGACGACGACGACGACGACGAATGCGTAGAGGAGCCCTTCGAAGGCAAGCCGAGCTCGACGAGCTCTTTCGCACCCGCGGCGCCGATGCTCCCACCGAGCTCGCAACTGGCCCGAGAACCGAATCGGCCACGAACGAGACGTTGCCATCGCGAGCAGAGACCGGGTCACCTGATGTTCCTCCTAGCATCTCTCCGCGCGAAGATCAGAGCCTGGTCAGATTCGCGCTCTCGATCGCGGGGCCTGCCTGGAGAGGGGCAGCCCCGCAACCCAGAATGCGGACTACGAAGCGCGTGTACCTTCGCGCCACCGCGGATGGCACAAATAGAAAGAACGTTTCCGTATCAAGCGAAACAAACAGGCGGGAACATGCGCTGCCGCAATAGCAGCGGCGAAAGCGGCGGCGGCGGTGGAGAGGCTCATGACGGCGAGGGAGGGGGGACAACAAGCACGAGCACGGGTTCGAGGGAGCTTTCTAAGCAGATATGGTCGGGGTCAGTCCCCAGTGGAACCCGTTGATCATTGTCGTTTCATCTTGAAACAGTTACCAGTGATAGCGGAGGCAGCGACAAGCGAAGCAGCTGCAGCAGTGCGATAGGTATTGGACGATATAAACCAGCAAAGGGAACGCACTGCTTCAACACATCAGGCCAAAGACACGCTTCAAGAGTCAGGAGTCAATTAGTTACATGCAGGACATAACGCACCAACAGGGTAATGCGGTGCATGCGACGGCATAAGTTAGGTACCACTGGTCTTCACTGAACGATCGGATCTCTCTGAAAGCCAATCAGTCCAACCCGTGCCGTATGTAAGGCGCTGGGGAGAATTCCAGGAACGATTATGCGCCGATCGATAATTTCTCGCGGTTAACCCGTAAGGCGCTGACAATTTGAGGCCTGCGCGGAATCGCGCGGAGCCGCGCGAGAATACAGCAGGCGGTGCAAAAACGCCCTCGCGCCGACATCGCCGAACGCGCCCGAGCCATGGACTTCATGCAACGCCCGTCGCGCATGGTAGTTGTACCAGCAGGCGCGACGCCAGGCAAAGGGCTGGCCAAGAGGCGCCCAAGACGCGCCCAAGAGGCCTCCAAGAGGCCCAAAAGATACCGCACGAGGCCCCAAGAGGCCCCCAGGCGCCCAAACCGCCTTCGAAGAGGCCCCCGAGCGGCCCCCCCACGACACCACAACACAGATACGATAGGCCTCAGACCCACAACCCAGGCACGGTGGCGGGATGGGCCGAAGGCTACTAGGTGGAGGCCAGCGTCTCAACACGCGCTGATGATTCCTATCCACCCCAGTATTGTGTTCCCAGACGCGCCAAAGCAACGCCGAGACGCACAGACGCGACTCTGAGATATCCCATTCTGACAGAGAGGAGGCCGGCGGCAGGGGTATATCCGCCACCGTGTCTGCATTGAGTGGGCGTGTTAGAATGCTCGTCTGTTGTCTGGGAAGTGGCGTCGAGTTTTCTGGGACATCCCTCCCCCTTCGACACGCGCGCCCCGAAGAAATGCCCCTTCTGAAATTGCGTTCTGGCGGTCTGTTTGGCCTCCAGACAGCCAAGATGGCCTCCAAGACAGAGGCAAGAACGCAGCCAAGACTACAACAAAGCGGCCCAAGAAAGCTCAAGACAGCCTCAAGACGGCTCAAGACAGCCCAAGAGGGCCCCAAGACGGCCCGCGCGACCTCCAAGAGGCCTTCCTGGAGACCATAGATGTGCATTAGAGGTCGACTGTTCGGGACTCCAACCACCCAAGACGGGTCAAAATGTCCAAGAGGCCTACAAGATGGCTCTCAGGCAAACCAAGAGGCCCCCAAGAGGGCTCCAAACCGGCCCAGGAGGACACAAAGATCGCACAAGGAGCTCCCAAGAGAGCCACAAGACGACCACTAAGCGCTCCAAGCGAGCGACAAGGCTGTCTTGGGCGGTCTTGGGCAGTCGGGAACCTGGACATGCCAAACCTCAAAATCCTTCAGAAACCTAGGGAAACTGAATGGAGTTGGCCTCGTCGGGCTCTCCTTAGAGGGCCTCTTGGAGACCTCCGTCTTGGGGACCTCTTGATCTGTCTTACAATCTTCTCAGAGCCTCATGGCCTCCAGGACGGTGTTCCAGGCAACCGGCAACCAAGATGACGCCAAGATAGCCCAAAACGGCGCAAGAGGCTCCCAAGACAGCCCCAAGGCAGATCAAGAATCCCCCAATACGGCCCAAGAGGTCTCCACGAGGACCTCCTGGAGAGCCCGAGGAAGCCCAAACAATGAGTTTCCAGTTGGTGTTTGAAAGACGGTGAGGCTCTCACCTGTTCGGGTTTTCGACCAAAGCAGGCTTCCAAGAGGCCTACAAGACAGCGCTAGGGCAGCGCAAACGGCCCCCAAGGGGGCCTCAAATCGGCCCAAGAAGATCTCAAGATCGCCCAAGGGGCACCCAAGAGGGCCCCAAGACGGCCGTGAAATGCTCCAAGAGGGCACCAGCGCGGCCTAGAGAGGCCTCCAAGGCGACCTCCATAGGCGTAAGACGGGCCAGGAGACCCCTGAGACGGTCCTAGAGGCCCCAAGAGGCCCCCAAAGAGGCCCCATGAGGCCTGAAGAGTCCCCCAAGAGGCTTTCAGGGAGCTCCCAGCAGGCCCCCAGAAGCCCCAATAATGCTCCAAGAAGCCTTCTCCTCTTCATCCGCATGTTCTCCCTCTCCTCGTCCTCCTCCTCCTCCTCCTCCTCATCATCCTCTCCCTCCTCCTCCTCCTCATCCTCCTCCTCCTCCTCCGTACCGCGCGGACTTAGACGAGGTCGGGATCACGACATTCCCCAATGCAGACTACGCATCGAAATTGCGTTCTTCCTACACTCAGCCTTTCCTGCTGCGCTGTTGCACAGGCGCGGTGGCGGGATGTGCCGCAAGCAGGGGTATGAATGTTTGAATACATATACATGTAATATACACACACGCACACATCTGAATGTAGGTATGTACATATACACACTGGAACAGAAAATACACATGGTGAGGGCCGGCGGCAGCGACGGGGCGGCAATGACCCCGCTGCTGGAACTGCTGCCGCCGCCGCCGTCCGCGCCAGCGTTGATCTCGCCGGGGCGGAGGGGAACGGCAGGATGACGCTTGGGAGGGGAGGCGGGGAGGAGGAAGACTATGGAACCAGGACAGAGGATGACGTGGTTCCCTTCACAATGCCAGGCAACAAGCGCAGCACGACGAATTCCTGCGAGGCAGATGCTAGAGGCGGGCAGCACACACATGCACTCGGTTAGTACGAGCTCGGCGGAGCACGCATGCACGCACATGCACTCGTTATGTTCCTCCTCCGCGATACGGCAGCTACATCCGTGTCAGATGCAGGCGGGCCGCGTTGGTGCAAGTCACACGCACACACGCACGACACAAAATGATTGTGCATTCAGCCCGTCGCAAGGCTCTGAGGACCATCGCGTGATCGAAGCAGGGCGCGCAAGGTGCACGTGCAGTAGAAAGGCGTGGCATCGTGGGTGGAGCGTGCACGCAGGCGTCACGGCGGACACAAGGCCAGGAGAGGTTGGGGAGTCACCCGAAAACCAGAGCGAAAGCGGTGCAGTCTGCACAGGCTTCGATGGCAGCGGAGCCTTCTTGACTGACAGGCGGTTCGTGGTCGAGACGAGCCTGGGTCCCTCTCTCTCCGTCTCTCCCTCGCACCACTGTCCTCCATCCCTCCACCCACCTCTGCTGCCTCAGCGTGAGTCAGGAGTTGGATCCTGACGGCCGCGTGCCTTGCACAACGTGTGACGGCGCGTGGACCCTCCCTCCCTGTGGTCCTGCTGCACACCTCTCCAGGGACGAAGGGTGACTCCGAACATCGGCACAAAAGTAGACGTCTAACAGTTACAAGACCTCGTTACGAGTCCTGTCTAGCCCTCGTCAAAGACGAGCGAACTGAGAACTGGCATGCTGTTGGATGCCACCGCGCGGCCGCCGCCGTGGAGCCCTGGCCATACAGTCCAAGAATGCGACATATATATATACACATATAAACACATGTATTGGCATGTCTACGTTCCGACCTAGAGTCCTGGTTATCAGGCACTGTGGTTGCTGGCGCTAGAAAGAAATGCTCGAAGGCACAGGGCATCGCCCATGGTGCTTTCACTGATGCCGTTGCTGCTGCTATGTCTCTTCAGTCCTCCCCCTGTCCCAGATTATACTCTTGCTTCTGACCATGCCCCTGCTCCTGCACATCCCCCTTCTCGGGCTCCTCCTGCTGCTCCTGAGTTGTTCCCTATTCCTGATCATGTTGATCTGCCTCCTCCCCCTCCGCCCCTGCCTGCTCCTCCTACTCCCAGCTCCCCTTGACAGCGAACCCACACACTTCTCCTCCTCCTCCTCCTCCTCCTCCTTCGATTCCTATTAGCTGTTAGGATGTGCTCCCACTCTGCCACCTAACCCGCCGATTGCAACCCACTTCCAGGGAGTCCAACCCTGAACGTCGAAACAACACATAATCAACGTTCCGTTTTATCATGGACATTACGTCCTCCGTGTTGCAACATGCGTGGCAACGAGTGGGACGGGGCGCACATCGCGCGCGAAAGGCCGAAATGTCAAACTCGCCTCGGCGCCGCGCTCATGCACCTAGAGAAGGAGCTCCCGCACAATCTGTCACAAGCTTTTTGTTATAAGCACCATCGGAGCGCGGCGCACAACTTGTCACACGCATTTTCGTCGACGCGCGAGCAAACGAAAATGTTCTACTCGCCTCGGTGACGCGCAGAACTCGCATGAAAGATGGGCTCCAGCCTCGACGCGTGCTACATGCACTCGCCAAATTTTGGTGGCCCGCGCGAATGGACGACGTCTCGCCCCAGCAAGAATTCCGTGCGCATTTCGCTCGGAAGTGACGTTCCAGCGCGAGCGCGGCGTATGGCTCGCTCGCCGAAGCGCATGAAAACGGCAGCGGCGGCTGGGCCGCGCGAGGTTGGGCGAAATGCCGACCTCGCCCGAGCGCAATAACATGGGTCGTTACAGCGCGTGCTTCGTCTATGCCGCATACATTGGCAGTGTTGCAACTCCCGCCCCTGCGCGGCCCGCGTAGATTTCCTGTCGCCAAAACGTCGGAAGCGAGGTCGCGCGCGAGCGCATTCCGTTTGCGAGGCGGCAGCGGGTTCCAAGCCCAGTATCAAGTTGTGTCTCAATGTATTATTGTGTTGTGGGAGGGAGGCTTGGAGTAGGCGGGGCCCTCTGACTCCCTCGACCTGGCGAACTTAACTCCTACTCTTACTCCTACCTCAACTCATAATCCTCCTCGTCTCCCTCCCCTTGCCATCACACACACACACACACTCGCAGCCCCTCCGAACACTGTTCCGGAAGCTCGGTTTCTTCTCGGCGGCCGCGGCGCTCCCGAAGTCCGAAGCAGCCTGCCGTCGAGCCGGGGGTAGGAGGGGGCCTCACGGGCGTGAGGCACGCGCCCCTCCCCCTTCCCTAAGGATAGTCGCACGTCTCGAGGCTCCCGAGCGCGGAATGCAGTCAAGACCTGGAGCACGCATGCGAGGCAAGAATCCGGCAGCGAGCCCGGGGGGGAGAGGGGGCGAGCCTTCAGAAACCTTCCAGCCTTCTGAGAAGTCGTTCGTGTCTTCGTCTTCGCAGAAGTCTTAGAAAGCTTCTCAGAAGGATGGAGGCCATATGAAGCTTCTCAGAAACCCTGCTCCATCTGCCTTCCCCCCTGGGCTTGCAACCGATCGGGGCTCTCGAGCGCGGAATGTAGTCAAGGTCTGGAGCACGGCCAGGAACGCGAGGGAAGGATGCACAACACACTGGACAGTGGGCATCTGCGTGGAAAGAGTTGCGGAAGCATCAGGCCGTCGACTCTAGGGATGTGTGTCTCAGGATGGACAGCTTAGGTGAGGATGCTACTTCACACCTTATCCTCCTCCTCCTTCTCCTCCACTCTCGCGGACGTGAAACAAACACTCAGACACTCAAGCTCAAACATAGCCTACCCAACGCTCGTGATTTCGTTACTCCGTTGGGTGGCGGCGGAAAGGCGAGAGCCACTTGAACAGGTGAGGGTGTAGAGCTAGCCTTGCAAAACTACTACCTCCTAGTGTAGGTGTTGATAGAAGCCCAATCCAGGGCAAAAACTCTCGCGTCGCACGGGCCCGTTCGAGGGTTCCTGAGACACCTGGACTGGCCCTTGACTCCTGGGGGTTGGTTTGCCGGTTATGCTCAGCGCTATATAACTCCTTAAGTGGTACATTGTGGTATAGCTATACTGTCCAATATGGCCCACTTCGCAAGAATATGGGCATAGTCTCGAGTCTTGGGCTGATGATACAGGGCAGCTTCGGACCATAACTCGCGTGGGCAGTAAAACGATCCCAACAGAAAGCTGAGTCGGCGCCATCAGCAGCAACGGGACACAACGAAGTGGCCACGAGGTGGCCGTGGGATCATTATGAACGGTGAGGAGTCACGAGACAGCAACAATGTAACTACGCAGAGGCCGCATGCAAACGACTGGAGGCCACGATACGGTATACCAAAATACCTACGGGGTGCCGCTAACGCAACCTCGAGCGTAGCCCTGATGTAGCTACCCGGCACCCGGCATCTCTGTGAAGGCCAAGCGGCGGCAACAAGCTAGTCTTTGGGCAGCAACGAGGTGGTCGCGACGTCGAGTATCCGAGGTAGATGCGACGCGACAGCGAGGTAGCCTCGAGCGAGATCGCTGCGAGGTGGCAGCGAGGCTGCTGCGTGGCAGCGAGACTCTAGACAGTAGCTACCTGCATCCATGCACGGAGGCGGCGGCGGGGTGGAGACGCAGAGGCCATCGCATCCGGGCACGACTCTGTGGTCCGAGTCCGAGCGCAGCTTTCGGCACCATGAAGTCTGTTCATCAAGTTTGACAGCACCCTGGGCAAATCTGTGTTTGTCGAGGGGGAGGACCGCCAGCGAGGACGATGAGGCCCTCATGCTGCCCGTCGGCGGATCAACTCTTGTCTGCCACCCGCCGTGCCTACCAACATGCACGCAATCCGGCACCAGTAGACTAAAACGGCAGCGGGTGCTCAAGGGGAAGCCTTGATCAAAAATGTGCCCTGTGGAGACAGCCCTAAACTGCAGATGCAATGTCACCAAATCCGAATTTGCAACGTTGCCGTACCATCAATCACCGCAATCGCGTTTTGGCATGATGAGCGGAGACTACGATTTGATAGCCGCCGTCGCTTAAACACCCATGGGTAGCCCTGCAAGAAAACAGGAAACGAACCCCTAATCTGAAAGAATACACGGGTACCATTGACCAGGGCCGTGACTTCCCCCACGGCTGGTACCCTAGACCAGGACACAAGGGTACCGTGATTTGGCAGGTCCGTCCTACTAATCAAATGCGACTGCAGCTGCTCAAGGAAGCATGACAAGCAACCCCACGTGAAGCCACAAGACGGCCACGTGTCCACGAGACGCCCCGTCGGAGGCGGACGAGTACAGCGTATCGCCCAGGGAGTCGGCGCCACGGGGGCCGCGGGCCATCGAATCGAGCAGCTGCAGGCATCCCCGCCACGCGCCGCAATCAGGGCACTGGCCAGGAGCCTCGCACAGGCCGCGGGCCTCAAGTGCTACGATCCACTGCATTCAGAAACGATGCGCGCCCCGACGGGCCCGGCCTGTGCGCTCGCCCGCACGTGCACCAGCTTCGAGGGGTCCGATTCCATCACACGGCCACTGGCCACCACGAGCCATCGAGCTGAAAGGCAGGCCACGGGCTACAAGAGAGACACGGTCCACGAGTCACCTCGTCGAAAGATGAGGCGCAAATCCCCAACATAACGGCCACGGGCCACAAGCAACCCTTCAGAGCACCATCTCTTCCAGAATTATACGCCCCCCCCCTCGCGGCACCCTACATGACCTCCCCGCTCACAGCAACTCCCCTAGTATTCAAGCACATGCGCGAGATGCCCATACGGCGGGACCCCGACAAAACCGCAGCAGGAACCGGGTGGCCTGGGACGTATGGGGAGGGTAAGGAAGATAAAAGAGAAATACCGGTTAACTGCTAGTAGGCTGTGGTAATGACGGGCTCGCGTTTCCGCACCATCGTAGCTCGAAACCGTCTCTGGGCCTCGGTTCGGCTTAGAAGCCCGAAGGGGCGCCAAGAACGGCAAAGAGAGCCCGTACGAGCCCAAGATGGCTCCAGGATGGCCCCAACACAACTAAAGAAAGACGAACCCATGAGGCTGCAGAAGGCCACCCAAAGCCGACCAGGAGGCACAATCATGACTGCCTGTGCACGTCTCGAGAGGGTCCCGACACGGCTGAGAAAGGTCCAAGCCAGCCCAAGAAAAGCCCAAGAAAACCCCAAGACGGCCCCGAGACACGCCAATCTACAACACTCACAACTTAATTTCCCGGAAGGGGCCCATCGTGCCGCCCCTCCCTCTTCGCTGGCGCCGAACACCTACTCAGCGATCTCTCCAATGGCCAACACCCAGCCACGAGACAAAAACACTACCGCGGCTCACAAGCCATCACACCGAAAACCGAAGATAACAACTTACCTGAATCACGGCAGGCATCCCGCAGCGAGCCGTTAGAATGAGGCGAGCCACCGCATCGAAACTCAACGCGGACCCCCATCCACAACAACACGGCCACGAAGCACGAAACAAACACATTGAGCACTTTTCTGAAATGCCCACCACAGCCCACTGGACGTGCTGGGAAACTGGTAAACACCACGGCCACGAGCCACTGGACGGTCACGTGCGACGAGACACCGCATCGAAAACCAATGCGCCTCCCCCACCAGAAAAGAATGGGCCACGAACGCGCAAATTCACCAATGGCGGATAAGACCATAAACCACAACAATGGAAACAAACAAACACCCCCGCAACGACACACGTCGGCCACGAACCGACGCATCGAAAGTCACGCTCACACGCACACACATGCACGCCCGAGACGACCACAAGCCACGTGGTGGTGCTGGCGGTAACGTCGAATGTGGGGCGTCCGCACATGCTCTACTGTCTGGCTGTCAAGTTCGACCGCCTTCCCACATGTGAAAGGGTCAGAAATACAAATTGTTGACAAGAGTTAAGCAAACAGTTACGCTGGGCTGCAGGAAAGGAAGAACAGGGGCGAGGAAGAGCTACCCGGCACCCGGCATCTCTGTGAAGGCCAAGCGGCGGCAACAAGCTAGTCTTTGGGCCGCAACGAGGTGGTCGCGACGTCGAGTATCCGAGGTAGATGCGACGCGACAGCGAGGTAGCCTCGAGCGAGATCGCTGCGAGGTGGCAGCGAGGCTGCTGCGTGGCAGCGAGACTCTAGACAGTAGCTACCTGCATCCATGCACGGAGGCGGCGGCGGGGTGGAGACGCAGAGGCCATCGCATCCGGGCACGACTCTGTGGTCCGAGTCCGAGCGCAGCTTTCGGCACCATGAAGTCTGTTCATCAAGTTTGACAGCACCCTGGGCAAATCTGTGTTTGTCGAGGGGGAGGACCGCCAGCGAGGACGATGAGGCCCTCATGCTGCCCGTCAGCGGATCAACTCTTGTCTGCCACCCGCCGTGCCTACCAACATGCACGCAATCCGGCACCAGTAGACTAAAACGGCAGCGGGTGCTCAAGGGGAAGCCTTGATCAAAAATGTGCCCTGTGGAGACAGCCCTAAACTGCAGATGCAATGTCACCAAATCCGAATTTGCAACGTTGCCGTACCATCAATCACCGCAATCGCGTTTTGGCATGATGAGCGGAGACTACGATTTGATAGCCGCCGTCGCTTAAACACCCATGGGTAGCCCTGCAAGAAAACAGGAAACGAACCCCTAATCTGAAAGAATACACGGGTACCATTGACCAGGGCCGTGACTTCCCCCACGGCTGGTACCCTAGACCAGGACACAAGGGTACCGTGATTTGGCAGGTCCGTCCTACTAATCAAATGCGACTGCAGCTGCTCAAGGAAGCATGACAAGCAACCCCACGTGAAGCCACAAGACGGCCACGTGTCCACGAGACGCCCCGTCGGAGGCGGACGAGTACAGCGTATCGCCCAGGGAGTCGGCGCCACGGGGGCCGCGGGCCATCGAATCGAGCAGCTGCAGGCATCCCCGCCACGCGCCGCAATCAGGGCACTGGCCAGGAGCCTCGCACAGGCCGCGGGCCTCAAGTGCTACGATCCACTGCATTCAGAAACGATGCGCGCCCCGACGGGCCCGGCCTGTGCGCTCGCCCGCACGTGCACCAGCTTCGAGGGGTCCGATTCCATCACACGGCCACTGGCCACCACGAGCCATCGAGCTGAAAGGCAGGCCACGGGCTACAAGAGAGACACGGTCCACGAGTCGCCTCGTCGAAAGATGAGGCGCAAATCCCCAACATAACGGCCACGGGCCACAAGCAACC